ATAAATCCTGCATTTATCATTGCAGGTATTTGTCCTGCTTTGTAAAATTATGCAACAACAATAATCTTGAGAGACATGTGGTTTCCCCTGGTTAGCCTCTGCTTCAGAGCGGGACTGAGACTCAAAGACAAGATCTACACAAGAAAGCCAATCTATCCAGTTACTGAAAGGAGGTTAAACCTGACAGGGCAGCAAGAGAAACAGAACTAGTTTTTAATCTCATCATTCTTAGGTGGTAGTGAGGGAATGCTGGACAGCAGATGCTCACACTTGCTTCCCACTTTTTACAGGTATCCAATCCCTTATTAATGTACTTAGCTGTAAGGCCTGGCTAAATGGTCTGCTGAGCTGAGACCATTATGGAAAAAGAAGTGACTTGACAGTGGGAAACAATGTCCTTCCAACGTAAGACCTTTGGGTCACCTTGATGATCTTGCTCTCATATGCAAGGTTCTGCAGTGTAAGATCCCATTGGACAAGTTAGTGCTATAATATATATATATATATATATTGGTTTTTGGAGACTGAGTTTCTCTGTGACTTTGGAGCCTATGCTGGAACTCACTCTATAGACCAGGCTGGTCTCAAACTCAAAGAGATCCGCCTGCCTCTGCTTCCCGAGTGCTGGGATTAAAGGTTTGTGCCACCACTTCCCGGTGTTATTTTTATTGCTTTCTATGTAGATTCCCAACACTAGGTTCATAATTGGCAAGCAGCTTTGGCATGATGAACCCAGAGCTCCATGAAGCTTGCCACGAGAATCTCCTGTCTGTTTCATGAATGCTGGGATTATAAGACTACCATGCCTACCAAGATTCTACAAGGGTGCTGGGCGTCTGAACTTCATCCTCGTGCACTTGCTTCATCCACTGAGCTGTCTCCCCAATTCCCAGATCAAGCAGTTTTAAAGTAAAACTTTGAAAGCTGATTTGTAGTAACTCAGAATCAGAAAAGCTTTTCACAATTGCAGGAACTCTGCATTTATGGGGTTGATGATTATGGAACAAATAGACTCCAGGAACTTAGTCCTGGATGCTAACCACTCTGCTGTGGTCAGTCTGGCTTGACAAGCTCACACAGCACAATCATCCCAGAGGTCTTGTTTCTCTGGGTCAGTGGCTTCTTAGCAAGACAGCCTGGCTTGTGTTTTGGAGCAGTATCAGACACAAGTTGACTGTCTTAGGGGAATGAAACTGCCTGAGGCACGCCTGGACCACAGTGGCTCCCCAGGAACCCCTGTATCCTCAGTAGTAAGGGTCGGCTGCTCATCCTGCATAATTTCCCTCAGGAGATGGCTCCCCTGAGAATCACAGTGATGAACATGTCCGGAGATCTCTTAGACCAGTGGTTCTCAACCTTCCTAACACTTCGACTCTCATACAGTTCCTCAGCCATAACATTATTCCATTGCTACTTTGTAACAATAAGTCTTTCCACCAAGTCTCCGAGTCCTGCTGCCATGTGGGTGCTTTCTGCCAGGCCACTCAAATTCTGCCAGGGGCCACATTAAGGTCCCAAGTAACACAGAGAGACTTATATTAGGTACAAATGCTGCTTGGTCAATGACTAGGATTTCTCATCTGCTAGCTCAGTCTTAATTATCATAAATCTATATATTTTATAAGACTTATATTATCAGATGACAGCAGTAACCTGTGTTCCTGGGCTCACATGGTGACTCTGCGCTTTCTCCTACCTTTCCCAGAATCCTCCTTGACTCCTAGCCCCACCTATCTTGTTTTCCTATTGGCCAAAAGTACTTAATTTATCAACCAAAAAGACAATCATATACACAGAAGGACCTCCCCCATCACTTCTTCATACTGTAATTTTGCTACCATTATGAACTGTGATGTAAATATCTGATATACAGGATATCCAATATACAACCCCTGTGAAAGGGTCATTCAACCCCTTGAAAAGTTGTGGCCCACAGGTTGAGAAACACTGCAAACCTCTGGTGTTTTCAGAAAAAAGCCAGTTCACAAAGAATGGCTCCTCTAAGTTCAGGGTAAGTTGCAGTCAGCAGAAACTTCTAGAAATGCTTTGCCACCCAGTTGATACTTCTACTGTGCATTCTCAGCTTTGAGCGAAGAAAATGTTCTTTATGGGACAGCATCCAGAAGATGACCCAGCAAAGCAATGTGGAGCCTAGCTTTCCCCATCAACAGAGTGTGAGCGCTACCCTAGCACTTCCTTCCTGACGAGCAGGCGGGGACTTTGTCAGGACAGCTTGTCCTCTGTTGGTGAATATTATTTTAAGGTTGTGATTTTGTTTATGAAACTTTTCTTTGTCTCTGTGAAACTGTGTTACTGTGCCTGTCTAAAACACTTGATGGTTTAATAAAGAGCTGAATGGCCAATAGCAAGGCAGGAGAGAGGGATGGGGGGCTGGCATGCAGAGAAAATAAATATGAAAAGAAATCTGGGGGGAAGTTCTGGGAATTTGATGAGAGAGGAAGGCGGGAGGACTTTAGGGGCCAGCCACCCAGCTACATAGCCAGACATGGAGCAAGATGAAAAGAAAAGGTGTACAGAAATAGAGAAAGATAGGAGCCCCACGGCCAAAGATAGATGGGATAATTTAAGTTAAGAAAAGCTGACAAGAAACAAGTCAAGCTAAGGCTGGGCATTCATAACTAAGAATAAGCCTCTGTGTGTGATTTATTTGGGAGCTGGGTGGTGGGGCCTCAAAAAGCCAAAAGAGGAAAACGTCCACACTACAGTCCTTTACTTTCTCCACTGCATAACGGTTGGCACACGTCAAACAGACAGCATCCCACCTGACCCCACCCTAGTTTACTTCACAGGGAACACACCCAACTTAGACAGTTCTCAATCCCTGCAAGCAAACTCACTAAATCCCCAAGAAAGCGCTGCTCAAGAGGACAGTGTAGGCAATCTTGGCTGAGCACTAAGTAACATTAACAGCTTGGTCACAGGGTGAGAAGTCACAGTGGGAATCGGTGTGCATTAGATTCCTAGAAATGCACAGACTGCGAGGCTGTGACTGGGAGAGCAGCAGGAGGTGGGGTCCTCTCCCCAAGCTTCCTGACGTCCAGTCTGTGCTGACTCCCAGAAGGGTGCTATGAACCGTGTTTGAGTCTCAAGGATGAATGCGAGGGTATGTCAAGTTCCCTTTAAGGCCTTTGGGGACTCACAGATCCTTCTGTTAGGAGGCTGCTCAACAAATGTTATGGAAGAATTAAGTTGGCACCGGCTCTCAGTGAGTGAAGGCAACTGACATGGCTACACTAGTTGTCGACTTTTAATCATTTATTAATTCTAAATTTATAATTTTTTCTTTTAGAACTCAGAATCCGGTGGTCAGTAATCGTTAGGAAGGATGCTGAGGCACACAGCAGCACCTTGGTACTCTACCTGCAACCCACACTGCAGCAACAGCCTTGCCTCAGGATGGCCCCTTTGAAAGCCTGGCGAAAGACTAGGTGTATTCATTGCCATGGTCACGGTGAGGTCTGTCTCCTGCATATGCATTTCCCAACACTCATTACTGCTTAACTGACCCTTCACCTTTGAGCGCATCTACTCCTGCCTAATGGCTAGCATCTTCAGTTTATCAGCCTCCGTCTCTACATTGCGATAGCTCCAGAGTGAGGAGTTAGTTGCCCTCTCTTATGATGAAAACCAAAAGGGAAGGGTGTCTTCTCGAAGGCTAAAGCAAGTTAGTGTGCAGTCCAATTCCTAATGATGGCATGAAGGGCTGTTTCTTATGTGCAGATGAAATAACTGGCTGCCTCTCATACAAAAGGCAGAATGCACCAGGGCTGCAGTGATGGATGGAGAGACGCTAAACAAAAGCCACATGCTTTTCTCCAGCCCAAGGCCTGTGTGAACAGAGAGAAGTCTGGCTAACATCCCTGTGTAGGCCCATTTGTAATATGAAGTCAGTGACGCCACACTCTGCGGCCTCTGCTGCCTGCAATTTAATTAGGTGATAACCCAACACAAGGACTCCCTGGAGCAAGGACATTCCCTCTCGTTGGAACACATTTCCCCGGCTTGTGCATGAGGGTGAAGAAGGCAGTCAGGACTTGAAAGGCAAACAAGGGTGTACCCTGTGGGTCACAGTCTCTCCCATGCAAAGGAGACCCCACAACTTGGCAGAATGGCCCCACAATGCCCCCACTCCTGAGACCATTCCAGCCTCTCTATCTGCCTTGATGTCAAGGGTCTGGCTTCCTAGGGAAATTCAGTTCAGTGTCTTGTTTTGTTTTTAATTTTGGGCCTTTCATTCCCATTTCTAAAAGTAAATTAATTTGTAAGACTTTCTGAGGAAGGAAGAACCACAGGAAGGGATGGAGGGAAACAAATGCTACAGCCTAGCACCAGAGTCCAGCCATTGGTATTTCTATGTCTTAGCAGTGGGCATCACATGCAAAATTTTAAAGATGCTGTTGTAGTTGGGTAGCGTACACAATTCTCTACCCAGTTTTGACACATTACATCATCAGAGGGATCTGTAGACCTGTTGGTGGTGTAGCTGCTGTGTGCAGCAACAGGGTCCAGGGGTCACACCACACCTCCATCCATCTGTAGTGAACAGTAATAATGAGGGCTGAAGTCCTGGCTCGGTGGGTAGAGAGCTTGCCTAGCATGCACAAAACCCTTGGTTCAATCTCCAGCACCCAATACACTGTGTGATGTTCACACCTGTAATCCCAGCACTAGGAAGTAGAGGCAGGAGGATCATCCTTAGCTGTATCAGCTGTACAGCAAGTTCCAAGGAGCCTGAGATATAGAAAAGCCTGTCAAAGGAAGGAAGGAAGGAAGGAAGGGAGGGAGGGAGGGAGGGAGGGAGG